GCACCAAAGCCCCTTCTACTCTTATGGCTGCCAGAAACAATCCTTCTAGCAGAAAGGCAGTTTACTCCTCATCTAAATTCCTGTTCTGTGAGCAGCAACTGAGAGGGGAAAAGTACAAAACACTTCGTCCCAGCACAGTTGGTCACTCTCGGCTAGGCTTCTTCTGTGTGGTGATGCCTAGTCCTATTCAGTCTATCACTGAGCCAACTGTTCATTAATTGCACTTTACATTTATGCGTATGACGACACCACACACTAGGACCTGAATTTTCAAAGGGTACTTGCCAATATAAATACTCCAGGTCCAAGATAAAACAGAATTAAAAACAGGCCTAGTTATGCAATTAGCTGATCATCTCCTATTTATATTACCAAGATATAGAGTATTTTCAGTTATTTTGCCTATTTTTATCACTCAAGTGAGCACAAGTTTTCACTTACAAATGGAACACCTAATTTTTAAGGGATTAACAACAACCATGATGAACGGCGGGTGTGGGAAAAGGCAGGTGGGCTACTAAGGCAAAAACAATTCATACTTTGTAGGTTGTTATAAATATTATGACAATGACAAAATAATTATATAAAGAAAATAGTACGTAAGAGGCACTCAAAAAAATTGTGTTACAGAACAACAATATACTCACAGTATTGTTAGCATCTGCTGAGCAAGAATAAAATTATTGAAGGCTCCCATTTCTATTCCTAAAAAGATTAAAATGAGAGAGGAGAGACCTCCTAATTTATTTTTGGAGAAAGAATATGTGACACGGTTGGAGAGGTATCTTTTCCCACACATAAAGTCCACAGGAGTGTCTACTTGGAGATCCGCTTCAATGCAAGAACTAGTCCATGAACAGCTACCAGTCATTCATTCAGCAAATTCTTTTGAGTGCTTGCTATGTGCCAGGCCTGTGCTAGGTGTTGGGGAGACAGTTGTAAACAATACAGACACAAGTTTGATTCTTGAACAGCTTATACTTTAGGAGATGAGATAAGCCAGCAAATGGCATATGAGTGGTGGGTGTCATAGGAGCACACAGAACACCACCAACTTCAGGAGAGAGGTATCAGGGAAAGGCCACTGTGGAAAGTAATCGCCGAGGAGAAACCTGAAGAATAAGTAGGAGTTAGCTGAAGAAGGAGAAGTTCTAGAAAGACAAAAGCACACACGGAGGTCCTGAGGTGAAACGATGCTGCAGAATCAAGACATTATGAATAGTTTAGTCCTGCTGCAACTCTGGGCACAACCCGGATGAGCAAGTAAAAATGGGGTGAAGCAGAGATATAAGAGTAGGGGGACAATGCAGAGGGCAGTGTGAGCAGGAGTCAGATCATGAAGTAGTGTGTGTTATTTGTCACATAAAAGACTTCTTCTGACACTAAAGCGCTCCGACTTAATCTTGGAGGCAAAGAGAAGTTACTGAAAAGTGTTGGGGTGATATGACCAGATTTGTCTGTTAGGAAGATCACTCTGGCTATAGTGTGGGAGAACTTGTGGGAAATCTTTTAAGTCATATAAAGAAACTATCTTAGATGAAAAAAATTTAAAACCCAAGCTAACTGCTAAAAGAATCTCAGTAGTTAAAAATATTAAATGTTACCTGCAATTTCAAGGAAAACTTTTTAAGAGCCGATGGCTATAATCATCTGCAAATGTAGCATAATGAAGGCAAAGGCTCTGTAATCTCAGGTAAACCTTACTTCCCAGAAACAAGAGAAAACGAGAAAAGAAAAGAGGTTACAACCCTTCTCTCTCCATTCCTGTCCCCCTGTCCCCCACAGGCAGGTACCTTATGCCAGTTCGGTCTTTGTTCTTCATTTAGGGACCAAATCTGCTCAACAAAATAAGAATTTGTCCATATGCTTGGGGAAACTGTTATAGTGTGCCAGATAACTTTTAAAGATTAAATGCTAACAGATGAGAACCAGGTCTGACCTCAAATCAAGGTCAAGCCAAAATTAACCATAGCTATTTTGCCAATGGTCATTAAATTATGAGAATTTCTGTAAGTAGTTTCTAAATTAGAAAATCTAAGACTCTACAATACTGAGGTACAAACATGAGCACCAGAACACAATAATAAGAATAAGATATTTTTCCTAATTTGCCTTTTAAAAATAAATTACAGCATTAAGCTCTAAATGCGATGATTAAAATTTCACAAACTTCTAGTTAAGTCAAAATGTGGTGACAACTACTGGCACATGACCAAATACTAAAATAATCTCAGTTGTTGTAGAAATAAAAAATTTTCTTCCAACTTGAAGCAAAGCTTTTTAGAGTCCATGGTTAAACTGATTTGTAAATATAGGATAAGAAAAGCAAGTAAGGGAGGTCTTTTATGTGGCAAATAAAATGCTAAAATCAACCTTTAAAAAGATTTTGAGGGATATTTAGCTATAACTCAAAAGATTTAAGACAAAGTAAATAACTATCCACTTCTAAAAATTAAAATACATTTTCTAGAGTAAGTAAAAACATGGAAATTTATCATTATTATAAGACATTTCTTACAAGGTCATGTGTAAATTTAAAAAACTAATACCACACTACTTTGCAGGACATAGTCAAATCTATTATCTGAAAGGGATGGATTCAATATATTTTTTCTTCTGCAGTTAAAGTCTCTACTTTCCATACTTTCTAAAAATAATTAAATAAATTTAATATTTCAAAACGTGCTTTGGGTATTTGTGACTCACCAGTTTGCTTAATTACTTCAAAAATTGCTATCTTAAAAACTATCATATTTTTATATACGGTTATTTATTTGTTTACTGACTGATGCAAAGGACTAGCACAGTGTGGAACACTGTGATAGGAGCTACATCAGACTGGGGGCCGAGACATTCATTCATTCGTTCATTCTTTTCTTAGATGTCTGAGCACTACTTTAGTGCCAGACAATGGGCCCTAAAAACATTCTCAGTCCCTGGAGAAGCATAACACTATATTTCATCAAATTTCAGACGTCATCGATTGTAAGACTAACTTTTAACTAATAAAGAAAAAATGCTTTCAATTAAGTTATGACATAATGCCTTGAATGAATCATATCAGCCTCTCACTGCTTTGATATTTTTTCGATCTATTTTTTTTAGAAATTGGCAATTTTTCTAGCCTTCGATACATTGCTTGACATTTTAAACGGCAATCTTTCTTTACACATCTCAGCACAAAACGCAGCTTCATCTACCTTGGGGTATATTCTTTTCTTGGCTCTCAAAAAGCACCTACTCGTTGTTTTTAAAGAAAAGTAAATGGAATTGTGATGATATCTCCAATGGTAAATGTTTACTTGGCTAACACCAAATTTAGACTTCTCTACTTTGTTTCTGTCCTTTTCTGTGAATTCAATAACTTTTTGTCTCAATGCCAAATCATAATAGAATCTTTTTGAAGATATTTTAAGTGGCAATTACATCTCACATATGTAGCACTAACACAGGGTACATAACTTGATAAAAAATGATGACATTAAATACAGCCACAATTAAGCTGTACAAGCACAAGCAATGACAACCTGTCCAGCTTGCCACCTGACAGCAACTGGAAGGTGCCATCAAGTGTTAGATACTTTCCAAATTCAGAAATGTTAAAATGTAAAACAATATATATATATATATATATGTCTTAGAATCACAGCAGTAATAGCAGCAGTCACATAGCACCATGAGGAAAGAACCATTCTATGTACTTTATATACATTATGCCACGAAAACTTGTAAAGTGGTAGATTATGTACTTCTAAATGAGAAAACTGAGGCATCTGGGTGCATGCGGTGGGGGTGGGGGTGGTGCGTAACTTGCCCAATATCACAAAACTAGCACCGGACAAGACTAGCATTTGAATCCAGCCAGCCTAAGTCTAAAGGCATATGCTTTTAACCACTACGCCTCGCAGCCTCTCCAGCTTAATAATCAATAACTGGCTTTGTTACCTGAGGCAAATCATTAGAGACTCCTTTCCTTATTTGGAAAAGGAGGGAACTGGAATGGGTAATTATGGTGTTCTTTCTCAGGATGAAAATACTATAATTATATAATCTTCTACAGTAAAATTTTATTCCCAAACTGGTTCCTCCTTAAACTGATACAATTCAGACCTTCGCTGCCATTAGTGATTAGTGGAAGGAATGTAATTTTTACTACTAGTCTAAAACAAGCATGCTTAAGAAGGTATTTAAGAAATAGACACACATGTACTTGGACCACTATTTCTTTTATGGTGATGGCAAAAGGTCGACTGTAGATATAAATGATCCAATTTGTGGGTTGTACTCTGCTTATATATTATATTGATGACAGAAATTTAGTCATTTAAAATTTTAAACCAAAATTAACATATGATTTCAATGTGTCAGTTTTAACAGATATTCACAATGCAGACCCCTTATTATTTTTTAAATTCTGTTCATTTACAAGGGGAAAAAAACCAATAGATTAATAACAGATGTAAATATTGCAACATTTAAGGTGGAATTAAAGGTGCATTACACACTTGACAACTCTTCTGCCCCAAAGGGGGGCTGTCACACCCTTTGATTTTCTTCCACAGACCGAGCCAGCTGCTCTCACTCCCAGGTGACCTTCCTTCAGGCCATAGCCTCTGTCTGATCAACAGACAGCCCAGGTGATGCTTAAAATTATTCCTAATATTTCACTTTGAAGTTGTCCTACATGAGGAGAGTTAGTAAAGGAAAGAGATCAAAATGTACAGTGTTTTTAAGGCTTTCATGATTTATTCTTAAACATTAAATACCATATCAATTTGGCCCACTTTTCTCTTTAATATAAACATACACATGGAGACGCATAATCTGCTCAAACAAAAATCAGAGAAAAATCTTTAAAAGACTTTTGAGGGAAAAAGTGAAATAAAGTAATGTAATGTAAGTGAACTGTTGGCAAAAGTAGGCTTAAAAAACAAAACAAGTGCAAAGATGCTCAAAGAAAGAAGGCTCTTGCCAGTGCATAGAATATTACTGTTACGTACCTTCCCATGCTGCCCGGCTCTTTCATAACAAATGACAACATCTTCCCACATTTCCAGCTTCTCAAATATCTGAAGGGCTGAATTGGTGCATCCCAACTCAAAGAGTAAACTTGCAAGTTGCCGCTAGAAAAAGCAAGTTAAAATAATGAACATTTCTTTATGCGAAGAAAGATTCCTGTCTCACTTGTATGCATATGTAATCTGCCATTTTAAGAGTCTGCTTATTATAATAAATGCATAATTTATATAATTCAACCTCAACTAATTCAGAATTTGCAATGATTCAATACTTTAGCAAGCTTCTTTATAAGAGGTGAGGAATTAAAAACAATACAGAAACTGTTCAAATTACTCAATATATCATTTTCCCAAGAACTCAGGAGAACTTAAAAAGCAAAATCCCTATTTCTTTCTTACCCAGAGACTCTATGAATGATAAGCTCTGATTTGTAAAGCTGAAGTACAATAAATCAAATTTTTAGAATGGCTATTATCAAAAAGATAAGAGATGAGTGCTGGTGAGGACAGGGAGAAGGGAGCCCCTGTGCACGGCTCAGACTGTAAAGCGGCACAGCCACTATGGAAAACGGCATGGAGGTCTCTCAAAAAATTAAAACTAGAACTACCATATGAGCCAGCAATTCCAATTCTAGGTATATATCCAAAGGAAACAAAATCACTATCTCAAAGAGATATCTGTTTCACCATGTTCATCACAGCCTTATTTATTTACAATAGCCAAGCTATGGAAACACCTTAGGTGTGTACTGAAGGATGAATGGATATAGAAAATGTGAAAAAAAAATATATATATATATTATTATATTATGAATAATAAATAAAATATTATTCAGTCATAAAAAGAAAGAAATCCTACCATTTGCGACAACCTGGATGGAAGTTGAAGGCATTATGCTAAGTGAAATAAGTCAGAGAAAGACAAATTCTGTATGATCTCACATGAAGAATCTAAAAAATCAAACTCATAGGTACAGAGAATACATTGGTGGTTGCCGGAGGTGGAGAGTCAGGGTGAAATGGGTGAAGAAGGTCAAGAGGTACAAATTCCAGCTTTAAGTAAGTCTGGGAATGTGACATGCAGTACAATACTATACTGCATGTTTGAAAGTTGCTGAGAGAGTATATCTCAAAAGTTCTCATCACAAGAAAAAAAAAGTTGTTTGTAACTATGTGAGGTGATAGACGTTAACTAAACTTACTGTGGTGATCATTTCACAACGTATATTTATTAAATCATATTGTATACCTACAGTACACTGTTATATGTGAATTATATCTCAAACTGGAAAAAAATAAAATTGAACTCAAATAGATAGATAAATAAATAATAAAAATTCCAGGCAGTCAACATAAATGACATAAAATCTATGCATTAGCATTCATGTACTTTATTCATGAGGGCATCAACTCTGGCTCTTTCTCACTCAGGTCTACTTAGATTTATTTCAAGTACATTCTAAAAAACTTAGCTACCCTATTTCCCAGTTCTTGCCAAAATAAAAGGGACAAAGAGTGGTAAGGTCATTGAAAGTTAAACATATTCAAAAAAATATATACTGTAGTTTATAAGTAGTCCATCCGGCAGGAATGAAAAAAAGTATTAGAAAGGTTTAAAAATAGGTGAGGTTCTTGAGTAAGGTTTGGTTTCACAGTAATGAGAACTGTGTTGTTTTCTCTAAAATACACTTTGACTATTCTATCAAAATTCAATACATATTAAGAGTTAAGAAGCTAATGGATATGGAAAATCTGAGATTGACAAAATTAGAAAGTAAAATAAAATCTACCTGAAAATTATAAGTTAATATATTATTAAAATAAAGAAAGGAGATGGTCTAATTCTTTTGTATCCCATGAAATACATGAGAGTTTGGCTATTTTAGGATATTTGACTACATATTTTCAAAAAATGAACATAGTATGTGGGAGCTGGAATAAATCTCAGTGCTCATGCAGTTCAGCAGTTTAATCTTTTCATTTAATAGATGAAGAAAGTTATGGTGTCTAAGCATATGACTAGCTAGCAGCAGAGTAAAGACTAACTTTCTTTTTACAATAAACTGTGCTGTTATTGCTGGATCTTTCAAAATAACACATAAAGATATGGATATTCCTTATAATGAAAGAAAAAAATGATTTAACTTCTTAGTGAAAGAAGATGTTTATCTAACTGCCTAAAAATCCTAAAATCCACAGCTTCCTAAGCAGATAAAATCAACATTTAGCCTAAATTCTATTTGAACAGTATTTAATTTTCCTAATGCTTCTGTTCAGAAACAGATTAAAAGCTATACCTTCAACAGACCTGTTTTATCACAATAATAGCTCAGAGTCTGAGACATTTATCTACCACACAGTACAAAGCAGTTCAAAAATTTTATAGATCAGTCAACAGCATGCCAAAAAGTTCCAGTTGTTAAACCTTCTTGTTGAAAAATCTACTCCTTTGAGATGATATAACAATGCTTTTTAGGTGCCTACGTTTTACTGAAACTCCTTCAATAGATAACGTGAATTCCAATGTGCAATAAACCCACCAGATCCCCCTGTCCTTAAGAATATAAATGACTCTAAGAAACCTTACAATGGGGATTCTGAGTCACTGAATGGTAGATTGGCATTTATAATTCTAAATCACTATCTATATGTGTAATCCACTAATCCATGAGAGGACAGGAAGCTGGTTAAAATGACAATAGTTAATAAATCATCTAGAAATTCCTGGCTGGCACCATATGACTCCACCTAATAACTTCTCTGTGCTGTAGCCTCCTCATCTGTAAATTGGGGATATTTAACAAAATTGTTGCAATACCATAAGATAATGTGTATGGGATGCAGAACGAAATGCATGCCTCACACTAAGTGTGCGGTAAGAGTTGGTTGTTATTAGCAGCTATAATTACAACCTGATGAAGAGATAAGGAAAAGAGGTAACTTCAACTAAAAGTTGGGCAACTAGAGATTTATCTTATGAACAGCTGTGTGGTCAACACTGGGAAAGTGTACTCTATTGAGCTGGGCCTCAATTTTCTCTCTGCAAAATTAAGAAACTGGACCGGGTGTCTAAATTTTCTTCAGTACTAAACATTTTACAAAATAGGGGAACCACACCTATAACATAGGAGAATCAAGGGGCAGGGGACGAGAATCTCCACCCGACGTGAGGCTCTAGGAGCTACACTAGGTAATCTCGTATCCTCAGTGTCTCACAACATAGGGTATCAAATAAATGCTTTCTTTTACTTTTTGTAAACAACTTGGTTAAAAAGTTCGTTCTTTGGCAGAAAGTCCTTAAAGGGTTTTTAAATATAAAAAGTTATTTTGAAAATAAAAGCTTCTGTGGTTCTATTATTTAATTTCAAGTATTCTATCTAGTTTTAAATTCTTTTAAAAATATTTTAAAAGTTTAATATCACTTTAATCAAAACAGCTAAAGTAACTGACAACTCTCAACTACTTCTTACTGAAATATTTGAAAATAAACGTAAATTGAAAATCATTCTTTTCTAATGCATTGAGCTTTCAAATGCAAAATATTTTCCATACCCAGTGACAAACAACAACAAAAATACCTGAATGGCCCAATGAGGTGGTACTTGACAGCAATAAAATATCTTCAGACGTTCCAGTACAGATGTAGTCTTATCTTCAAATTGGTCTGCAAGAGCCTTAAAAGCACATACCACAATCAGAATCTATGTGTAATAACTTTTTAATATAAACAAGATTTTTATTGTAAAAGTTATACAAATGGATATATAAACAATAAAAAACAAGTCACTTTGATAAGATAATGGGATGTGTAAATTTTTTCTTGAATTTCTTTAAATGTTAAAAAACCTTAAAATTAAACATTTATGTAAATGTGCACATTAAAAACTTATCAAGAAAATCATTTTTAAAACTAAGATTTCCTATAATAGTTCTTTCAAAGAACTATCCTAATTAATCAACCTTTTTACTTTTTCTAAGAAAACCTGTTCTTCAGTAATCTATTTCAAAACCTAAAGTCACTTTGACAATGGCACTTTCTAATATAAAAAGGGGAAAAATTATATGAAGAATTTCACTGAGGACTATTTTCTCAGGAATAAGGTGAAAGCAAAAAAGTGGATCTGTTTGATCACAGGAAGCGAGTTCTCTTACTCTTCAGCAGCAGACCTACAAGGCTGGACACTCATTCATGCAAAGCCATCCTTGACGTACAGCAGACAGCAGCAAGCTGCGTGCAGTGAAGGACCCGTCTGCTGTACTGAATAACTGAACTCCCGGAAGCTACATCAGGAAGCAGACCAATAAGACCAAGACAGCTGACTCTAAGAAAAGATACCAGGGCCGACTGCAAAGTCAAAGGCTGGCACTACCCTGTCGTCAAGTGACCAGCCGTCAAAAGAGTACACGTATTCGGCACTAGAGTGAATGCAGACACACTCTGGAGTCCCCAAGCAAACACACAGACAGCAGCCCCATTACCATGGTCATCTTCACCTGCCTCTTAATTTGTCATTCAGTTTATAGTAAGTATAAATGTTTTCTCTGATATATACTTAGACCTTCTCTCAATTGTGACCAGTTTTGCATAAAATAGTACTCAAATTTTCTTTTTGTCCAGTTGAGTAATTTTCATAGGCCTGTCTTATGAGCGTTATATGGTAACAATAAGTCAGTGTAAATTTTCTGGTATTAATGCACATACTGTAGGAGAATGTCCTTCTATTTGAGGATGGAGATGTGCCATGTCGGCAACTTACTTTCTAATAACATAAGATACAAAAGACAGTTGTACTGTACTTGCAACTTTTAAGTTTCAAACCGTTTCAGGCTTTTACAAAATTAATTTTTTAAATTGAAAAATCTCAAACAAAAGTAAGAGGTAGCGAGTCTAAATTTCCTCAGAAGAAAAGGACAAGAATCTAACATATCCCAAAAGCCCAAGACAAGGAGACCGGTTTCTGAGTGGAGAAAGTGTTCCTAAATTGGGGGAATCTCTCTGTTACACCGGGTGGGAAATTATTTGTTAGCCTAAGAGTACCCTGTAGAATGAGAAGACACTCATTACATCACTTCTTTGACAATCCAAGATGTTATTCAATCAAGTCAGTCAGAACAAATTGAGACATAACCACACTCCTAAACCATCTTGATCAAAATATTTTTAAAGCTTTCTGGCCTTACTTCAGAGAAACTTAATAGTAAAAAGGTTGCATGCTTCTGCCCAAAGCTGTTTAGTTGTAAGAAGGAGAAAAGAGAAGAAAAACTTCTGACTGAATACATATGGTTACAATACATAAATAAAAGCTTCCCTGAATTACTTCATCAAAAGGGGGGCAAATTTTTCTTTTTATCAAATTTCTTTTTTCTTTCTCTGGGAGGAAAAAAAAATAATTAACACTTATCTAATAATAGTAAAAAAAAAAGCCAAAAGCAACATCACAACATTTACTTTTATCAAGTCCTAATTACATGTAAAACATTTTATTTTCAAACAAAACTCATGTTATTTGCTGTAGTTAATGCATCTAATTAAAACATTAAACACTCAGTAAATAATTCCTGATTTATTAATAAACAGATTTATTATATATTTCAGATACTCTCATATACTTTTAGATGATCTCAGAAAAAGTGTCTCAGACACTCTCCAAAATGGCAAAGACCACAGGAGAGAAAGAGCAGAGAACAAACACCTATTTGAGCCAAAGCCCACGAATAAGCCCCTACAGAAGTACAGTCATGCTTCACAGAACTTGATTAGGCCATATGTATGATAAAGAAAAAGACTGAAAACAGAATCCAAACCTATTTTCACTCCTGCACAGAATATACTTCTTTTCACTTTAAGCATGACAACTACTTAAATAAGATTTAACTACCAATGAAACTAGGAACATCCAATTAATACACAAAAGAAAGAAATGATGATTTACCTACTTCCCCTACAAGCAAGTTGTTTAACCACAACGGCATTCACCTATGAAATGATTTTCTAAATGATCTTTGCACTTACAACATTCTATGAGTATATGGCTTTATCAAAAGAGTATTTTGTTTTATTTCAAGCATTTGAAGAGGTTTGTTGGTTAGTTTTAGGCACCATTAGCTGAACACAAGTATCGTGTACATTTTTTAGGGGCAAACCAAGAACCCAAATATTCTGGAAGACAATGGTAGGACATTAAGTACAAGGAGAATGGAACTGAATAAAAGTGAAGCCTCAATTACTACTGTGTATATTTATGTAATGATGTAATGTGCTCAGTGAGAAATTGGCACTTTGCAAGCCTACACATATTCCCAGAAATTTAGGTAAATGGCCTCTAAACCAGTGTCCTACCCCTTTCATTTGCCATTTCTCTTTCCAGTTTCTAAACTTCATGAATTTCACAGCTAAAAGTCATGAGCACTTGGTCATAGTAAATGCTGGATGTGGTCTTTAAGGAAAGATGGTAATGTCAAAAATGGAGAGAGAAGTTGGGGAGGGGGAGGGAGAGGGAGAGGGAGAGAGTGGGGGTAGGGGGGAAGACAAGCAAATATTCCCTAAATCAATCATTCAGAATTGAAAGCAAGACAAAAAGTATACTCTAGGAAGGTGACAGAAAAGATGTGGATAAATGGGAAAGAAGACGAGTAGAGAGTGAGGAACAGCAGTCTAGGGCTCAGTCCAGAGGTGGGGGGTGAGCCGAGTTACAAAAAGGTCAGGCGTAACTACTGGGGCACACCCAAGACGACCTCATGATGTAGAGACTATTGTGACATGAGACTGTTTTCAAGTTTTAAGACCCCCTTTTCATGTTGTTTTCTTCCCAAACTTCACCTCAAAGCATTTATACTTGGAGCGGCCTTTGAAAAAATGTGCTGTGCTCATGGATTCCCCAGCCCCATGCAGTAGCAACTCTCAAAGCTTCCAGGAACCACAGTAGCACAGATCAGAGGATATCTCTACAAAATGGAGAATAAAAGAATAAACCCCAGAAAGCAATGATGTGTCCTCTGTGTTCAATGCTCTGTTTTCAGTAGAGAAAGAACTTCCCTGCAAAACTAGAGAATGTCAAGACTAAAATTTAAAATTAGCACATGCAGAATGATTTAGTATAGAGGGACAATTCTGAACAAGGTCTGGTACGACTTAGACTTTATTTATGTGCTCATATCTAAAAGTATGGCACACTTATCTTCAAAAGAACAGAGCTAGTCCCTAAGGACCTACCCTTTCACTGGAGGCTATTCATTCTTGCTAGCATGATATCAAAGTGTTTATCAGCTTTCTGAAGAGCCAAGTAGAAATTAGCTGATAATCTAAAAAGTATGACTGATCATATGCCAAATCACCTTGCTTTGTTGTACAATCTGTGTGTGTATGTGTATGTGAAGAAAGGTGGGATTTATTATAAAAATATGTACTTAATCAAATATATATCCAACAACTGGACTGAACCACTTTCTTTGACAGGAGTCTGCAGTCACTCAGACTGCAGTGGTTTACAAAGAGAGTAGTCAAGCTAACTGCTGCCTCAGACCCCAAGCCCAAGAGAAGTTCCAACAGCAACAAGGAGAATGAGAATTAAAACCTATGAACACACCTACTCAGTATGGACACCACCATGAAACCTACTGGTAACCTAGTTTTACCTCATGTACAGGAAACGGAAGCTCAGAGAAATAAAAATGACTTGTCCAAAGCCACAAGACAGGTGAGCCCATAAGAGTCCAAAGACCAAGCTGACTGCTTCATTAAAACCTTACCTGGTAAGTAAGTGGACAATTATCGGATCTGTGAAAATAAGAAAGCAGCTTCTCATTGGAAAAAGACTGAGAATTCCGTTTAACTGGGTTTTTTCTCTACCTAAATCCCCTAACATGGGAGTCAGGATGTGGCCTGGTCAAGAAGATCTTCAATTACTGCTTCTTATTCTAGACACAGAAAAGACTTTAACAAGTGGGCTGGAGGGAACCGAGGCTACCAATGGGGTTGGGAGAACCCAGATGTATTTTTCATGATTCCAGAGCAATGAGATGAACATAAAGAGGTGGTCCTTGAGAAAACCCAGAGAGCTATGTTGGAGCATGTCCCTCAGTCAAATCTTAGGTCAGCATTTCTTAAACTTTTTGGTTTCAGGACCTCTTCAAACTCTTATAAATTATTGCAGGACTCCAAAGAGCTTTCATTTATGTGGGCTATAACCTATCAACACTTACCATATTAGAAATTAAAACTGAGAAAAATTTAAATATTAGTCCATTTTAAATGAAATAAATCCATGACATTAACATAAAACATGTTTTATGAAAATAACAATATATATTTCTTAAAGTCTTGAGAAGGTTGGCAATGTCTTACATTTTTGCATATCTGCTTAATGTCTAGCTCCAGAGATGACAGCTGGAGTCTCATATTTGTTTCTACAGTCAATCTGTTGCAATATATTTTGGTTGAAGTTTACGAAGAAAATTTAGCCTCATACAGCTATGTAGTTGGAAAAGGAAGGAGTACGTTAATAGCTTTTTCTATTAATTGTGGATATTATTCATTGATACTATATCAAAATTCAACATGTGGTAGCTTCTCAGAGTTACCTGTAATATGGAATTTATAATCTTATCAAGAAACTTTTCTTTAACACAATAAAATTCACTAGTCTTACAAAAAAAAAAAAAACTCACTGGCCTG